CCATGGGAGCCTGCGCCGCATACTGCTGCGAGAACACCGGGGCCTTCTGCTCCATCAGGATGCTCGACTCCTGGCTGGGGAAGGTCTCCGGGTCGACAGCTTGGCTCTGCAGAAGTACATGAACGACAGGAACAGTCGGTGGGACACGGCTTTTCGTCGGATTATACCAGACTAGTACAGCCACTCTGCAAAACCATCGTTTTTCAAACGATGGGAACGTTTTTCGAAAGAAAACTACATAAATTTTCTTTACTTAAATATAAAACTTAAAAATAAACAGAATTGTACTTTTGAGTGTCAAAACATACTCATGGAGACAAATTCCTCCTCTTTTCTTTTTTTTTTTAAAATCAAAGACCCACAATCTTTGTCACGTTCTTAACATAGCCATCGTATCATTCTGCTAACGAATAAAAACCTGCAATGAAAAATGCTATATCAAAATCTGTAAACGAAGTGATGCCAGCATATTTTTGCCATTGAATCTGAGATAAATTCAAAGACGTTACAAATGAATAAGGATAAGAAAGTAGATTTTTATCAGTATCTTTAAACAAAGTAATGACTTCAAATAAAGAAGCCTGAAGCCATTACAGAAGCTAATGTGAACAGAGTGCCAGTTCTTTCAGGGCACTTTCGCACAAACTGATTACCGATTAGCATAAAAAAACTAACACGATTCTAAATTCCACTCTAGATACTCCCCTAATATTTGCTCTAGCCAGAATATTTTTATAGCTTATTCCACACTGACCTTGGAAATTAAGTTAATCTAAATTTCAGTGCCCTCATGAACGACAGACTTTAAGATCCTCTAAAATGTTTGATGGATATTTTAAAAAACATGTTCTAAAATGTGACAGTTCTCTTATCTGCAAAATTCTTCAACTGTTTCCACTGAGATATTAATTAAAATAGAAATATATTTACCACTTGGCTTGAAAGAAAAAAATCGTATTAATGGTGGTATTCCAAAAGCTAGGTAATATTGCAGAAAGTTTCACACTGCAAAAGTTAAGTTCACTAATAAGTTATAAGTCCAGCTTAACAGTTCTGTGTTGTACCAAACAGGCTTGGAGACAGTTTTCTCATGTTCAAAGGAGGATTTCATTGGTCCTATTTCACATCTACAATGCAGAGCTAGTTCAGAAGTTATGCTTAGGATGCTGATGAGTGCTGAGAACTGAAATGGGTGTTCTAGGCTCCTCTGAGAATACTAAATCGTTATAGAGACACATACAGCTGTTTTTGGAAATACAATTTTGATGCCAGAAACATCAAGAACTTTTCCCCAAAACATTTTTTTACTTTTACCACATTTTTTTTGCACCATATAAGAATGAAATGGACAAGAATCAACTGGAAGCCAACAAAAATTACTGTGGTGAAAAAATGGATGAAAAAGAATAGAACAATTTCATGCTGTAAAGTTTATGAAGCGTGTTTGTAATTTTTAAGAAAATTACAGTTTTAAGTGCTTAGAATGAAATCAGATGCTTCAAGTGAAACTCGTCCCTTAATACACATTAATCAACTAAGGGAAAAACTACAGGTGAAATTACACGTTACAGGTTTGCTCATCCAAAAGCTTGTTTCCCCCGTCACAGAAAGGCCTTGATCCTGCTCCTTTGTTCTTATGTCTTTATCTTCTTTTCTTCTTCTTTCCAATACCCTGTTGCTGGCTGTGATCTTACCTTTCTGCCACAGAGAGTCGCTCCTCTGACCATCAGATAAGCCGAGGCCTGTTAATTTTTTGGTTTTTGGTCAGGTTAGTTGCATAAAGCAAAATGGTTCAGCACAGGTCAGAAGGAGGAGAGCTAGACGAGGGTGGCAGGGAAGAGGAAGGAAGACTAAACCTGGGGCTGAAGGAAGCTTTTCAGGTGACACTGAGCCATTAAACGGACTTCCACCAAAATATGTAACTCCGTCCTAACTTGCAAGAAGTGTTTTATAATCCGCTTCTTCAACAACACATTTCACCTCCATCTTGACAACATACCCTTTAAAGGCAGTACCCAAAACATGCAGTGCAACATCCAGTATACCTGGCTAACTAGTTCTGGTATTCCTAGAGCCCTGTCGATTTCTTCTAAACCATCGAAATTCCTTAATGCCATGTAAAGCTGATCCAGGAGAGCACCCTCATCACTTGGTGACTCTGATGAAGGATGATTACACAAGAGATCATCTGGTGAGCTGCCAAACGGTTGCCTGTGAAAACATGAATACAGCGTTGGTAAACAGCTGCTGAAAAACAAGAAATAACATCACAGGATTAGTACTCAAATTGAACTAACAAGTGGAGGCAGAAATTATTTTAATTGCTGCCAATTTCGTTCAGAAAATTATTCTGGATGAAAGATATGCTACCCAAAGAAATAACGTGCTAATAGCGTGATTAATGCCTGTCAAGATCCTACAAGCACGGGGCATCCGACAAGTCGGGAAGCACACCAAAGGTATGCTTGAGTGCTGATTTCATATTACAGGGTCAACAGAGGAGCAGAGAAATCAGTATAGAATATAGCCAACGAACACAGACAGCTAATTGTAGTTTTGAATTTTAGACGTTAGATTAAGTATACTATCACAAATAGAAGAACTCATTTCCATAGGCACTCTTCTTAACCGGTTTTCTATCAGACTAAGCGAGCCGAAGAGGCCGCAGAGGGGTCCGAGGATTATCTGAGCTGGCACAAACCGAACATCTGGAAGAGCTGTGCAGAAGCATGAGGGAGCAGGGAGAAAAGGACATTCCCCTGTTTGTTTGCAGCAAAACACTGCATCAGCTCAGCCCATCTTGTGGAATTGCACACTTGGGTGCCAGTTTATGCACTTGGTTATGTGCCTCAGAAGGGTGTCAGCAAGAATTTGGATACTGTCAGGCAAGTGTGCTGGCTCTATAAATCCTCCTTACCGCAGCCCTGAATTTGTATGCAAAGCACAGTCACAGTTACGAAGGCAGAAAAAAGGTTTATTCCCAACCCAAAGGATAAAACTTACTGATAAACAAACGAAATCTGAAGTAACACCTTATCTGCAGCCAAATGACATATTTTTGTTTTGTGGAGTTCACACACGAGCCCTACTTCAGGTACAACACTACAAGACTACAATAGAAAACACAAAGAGCAAAGCACTCTGTCAAGCAAGGGCAGCTACTGTATGCACATCATGGCAGAGTCTCATCCCAGATAATTACTCAGCGACAACAAAAGCTGTCACACATGGAGGGAGGAAGCAGCACTGTATATGAACCCTTTTTACATGTCTGTTTGGAAAAACAAAGAAACATGTTTGTGTAGTTAGTTTCCATAACGAGATATATGGTTGCCATGGAAGTCTAATCTCTATGTCAAAGCTGAGCAGAAGGGAAGAGCTGCATCGTCAGGCTATACACCTAAAAACCAAAGGATGGCAAGCAGGAAAACTAACAAAAACATATTCTTTTTAATTACATCCTGGACTTTTTACATATATGACGTACCTTTAAACCATTGCAAAATATTAATCAATCTCATATATACAGAAGTTTCTGTAACTCTCACAGATGGAATTATAAATCAGTAAAAGGGAAGAGCAAAAAAGAAAAAAACCCAAAACCCTCTGAATCAAATTGCCTGCAGACTTTAAATAAGAAGGGATATATAAGAAGGGATCTATGAGCTGGAAAAATAAGCCAAAAAACCTCCCTCAAATTGTAAATGGGCACGATAAGAAAAAATTTAAAACATTTGTCAAATTCTGTATGTTAAACAATGACAATTACTTAGTTTTTTCCTGATTTCTTTCATATATGACAATGATAATGTTTGTCTCTAAAATAATTATTTTTACTCACCAATTAACTTTTATAGAATTTAATACTCATGATGATAATCAGGTTATAAAAATACAAATCCCAGGGGTTAATAAAATAAGAAAGGGCAGCACCAAACAATTCATAATATCTGTTTGGGTGTAAATGGTCAAAATATAATTACTTCTAGATGCAATGGAACGGGAAAATTTTTTCACCATCTTCAGCTATGAGGAAATTATAAGAAATGCAAAGGTAACAAAATGGAAGAATTATCTGCCTGGCTCGTTAACCAAACATGGCCCTGTATTTTATTTTACAGTGTCATTTTTGAAGTGAATAATTAAGTTATGCAAACAGTGCTTTCGGCATATTGACACTGGGGGAGAATTAGCACCAGGAAACATCTTGAAAAGCATGAAAAAGTTACAGAAGTAACTGAGAAAATGCCACACTTACATTCACAGCTAAAACTTTTGGATATCCTTTTGCAATGAAAATTAAGAGAACGTAGTCAGAAGATTAACCTTTCTTGAAACACACTTTTTTCCAACTGTGTTCTCTTAATTTTCTTGTCAGCACTCCCCCCATTTACTATTGAAAGATATTCTAATGTATGCAGTTCAAAGTATTTTAACATTTTTCACTTATTTGTCCATTTTGTATCACTTATACAGTCCATATGTATATAGTTTCTCTAATGTAAGCTGCAAACTTTTTGGAGAAGACACGGCTCTTTTTTAGGAAGTGTAAAATGCTTTTCATAATTATGGCATAATTTAAACGTCTTAATAATGAACAAAGTTAATACATTACATATGAGTTAACAAGTTGTGATCAACCTGTGGTTCTGGATACCTGAGAAGGAGCTAACTTCAAGGAAAAGGCTACTTCCTTTTCACTTCATCTTACCTTCCTCGCCTTTTACAGAATTTAGGACAATTAAAAAAACCCCAAACAAAACAGAAGTTAACAATGTGCTGCACTTCTTAGAACGCTAACGCTACCCCGCTGCAGGAAAAGACAGCTATGTTATAACTGCAAGGGCTCTGGCAAGTCTCCACATTTAGTGTTAAGTATAGTTGTTAACAATAAAACCAGCAAAACCAGACAGAATCATGCTGCTATTAACGCTCGAGAGGCGAAAATGGTGCTACTACCTGAATCACTGGCAGCGTTCACTGTGATACAGAACTTCCAATTCTTCCAACACATTAAATGGCAAAGAGAGCATTTATAAGTAGTACTTGAACATGTATACATTTCACGAGTATAAAATACTACCAAGCATTAAATTGATATACATTTGGTGAATATTTTTACGTAGGGCTTTGTTTCCGTGAGGCGTATAAAATGCAGGCCTGTAAAACCTCCCCGTGTTTTGATGTGACAGCAAGACTCACCTGTTCTGACCACCAAAAGTTGCCTGATCTATAGGCAAGATGCTGTCTGGCCATGGTGCAGTCTGATTTGGAGGTGCCTGTTGTTGGCTATACTGAGGTCCTCCTATGTTCATCTCCAATTCGGATGGCCCTAATAAAGGAAAAATAACCATGTAACTTTTGTGAAAAGAATCTACTTTCCTGTTAATTCTTTCCATTGAATTATCCATTTACAGTAAAAGCAAACAAACCCATTAAGACTTCAGTAACGTTACACTTAAAAGCACCATGAATTTTTTGTTAAAAATGACTTTTAAAATTTGAGAAAATTAACATGAGAACTCCAAACGTGGTTCAAACCCATGAAACAGCAGATACGACAGCATAGATGCAAAAAATTAGTCAGATAAGCATAAGAAAAGGACAGTATATACAATCAATATCCTAACTTACTTGCTTTAAAAGTGAGCAAGAACAATGGTGACATTTCCAGCATTTCCTCTTAACACCCCACACAGTATTTAAAAACAAGAGCAACTTCAGATTCTCTTTTTTTGGCCACACCACTGTGGAGCTACAGAGTAGCGGGAATTGTTCGCATCAACACATGCATTAGAAGGTAGTGTTTTACACACCTTCCTTCCCACTTCCAAAGGAAATTTTCACTGTGGAATACAGTTCTTATCAAACCTATACTTGAAGTGACTGTTTTTTTTTTTGTTTTTTGTTTTTTTTTTTTTTTTTTTTTTTTTTTTTTTTTTTTTTTTTTTTTTTTTTTTTTTTTTTTTTTTTTTTTTTTTTTTTTTTTTTTTTTTTTTTTTTTTTTTTTTTTTTTTTTTTTTTTTTTTTTTTTTTTTTTTTTTTTTTTTTTTTTTTTTTTTTTTTTTTTTTTTTTTTTTTTTTTTTTTTTTTTTTTTTTTTTTTTTTTTTTTTTTTTTTTTTTTTTTTTTTTTTTTTTTTTTTTTTTTTTTTTTTTTTTTTTTTTTTTTTTTTTTTTTTTTTTTTTTTTTTTTTTTTTTTTTTTTTTTTTTTTTTTTTTTTTTTTTTTTTTTTTTTTTTTTTTTTTTTTTTTTTTTTTTTTTTTTTTTTTTTTTTTTTTTTTTTTTTTTTTTTTTTTTTTTTTTTTTTTTTTTTTTTTTTTTTTTTTTTTTTTTTTTTTTTTTTTTTTTTTTTTTTTTTTTTTTTTTTTTTTTTTTTTTTTTTTTTTTTTTTTTTTTTTTTTTTTTTTTTTTTTTTTTTGATACTTCATCTTCAACAATCCAGCCCATGCCAAAAAGCACAACTTCACAGGTGCCCTGACTTACCCATATTCATGACCTGAGATGGAAGCATCTGCCTTGGGCCAGGCTGGTTGCTGGGTCTCAAGGGGATGCTGGCCGTGGGGTTGCGGATCATGCCTGCTTGCACCGACCTGTTCATGGCAGTAGCTGTGGGCGCGCAGGTCACCCTCGCGGCAGGAGCCTGGCTTCCCCAATCTCCAGATGTCATGGCAGGCCGAGGGGCACTGCCACCGATCATTCCTGCACAAAAGCCAAACAGACTTGGGTGCCAGCACATGATTCAGAACCGCTTTACCATCACCACTGCCTGATGAGCTGCATTTTTAGTAACGAAAATGCAGTAGTTTCACTCAAAGCACATTATACCACAACTGGCTGTCCAGATGTGCAAAGCTACAGAATGATGTCTTACGCTGCTTAGTCAAGGGACTGGAGATTATTATACATTTTACATGAGGAGGATCCTTTTATCATTTCCGAAACGCTGTTCAGAGTAAGTGTTCCCACATGTAGTCTGCAACAGGTGCCGAGGGTGTGTGGATAGCCTTGACTTCCTTCCTCAGGAAATGAATCACGTTTGCTGATGTGCGTGTCAGTGCTTTACTTTCCAAGCGCTAAGTGAGAATGAAGACTCGAGTAGCAACGTGTTATCGCTACATAGGCTTACAAATTAGAAGGATTAAATTTAAATGCGCATTCTGCAGATATCTTTTGGTGAGTCCTTTCGTTCAGAACCTAGAGCCTGCTTAGCTTCAAGGCTCACCCAGACAATTTTGAACCAATATACAGTACAGGGAAATTACTCACAGGAACTTTCCGATAGATGCTGAAGTTCATTACCGTTATTTTAGGGGAAGTCCTCCTACATCTACTGTAAACAACTGATACAGTTTATTTACACTTGGAATATATAGAGTACTACACTCTTACAGTAGCCAAAAAAAACCCCAACACAAAAACCCCCAAAACCCGAAGACCTACATTCATGGTATTAATACATTTCCATTTTATACAGTCAAGAGAGCAGGCAAAATACTGATTTCAGACTGGACTACTGGTCTCTCCAGTTGCATTTTGTAACATCCTTAAATAAATACTAAAAGCCACACAAATAATTATTATTCGTCAGTTCAATTATTTGGTGATATATAACCAAGGAGAAAAACCCTCTGAAGAGGGTCATTGTTTCAGCTGCTATACAAAATTTGCTTCAGTGTTACATTCTCAGGTTTGTTCTATTTGTGTACATATTCTATCAGCTGAAATATGTGGTGTGCTAGAGCAAATGGCAGGAACACAGATAATAAATACTCTCTAACTTGTATACAGATGATGAATAACATCCTCTAATATGTATACAGAACATAAAAGTAACAGGACACTTGAAAGCCTACAAGTTGACCTCTAAACTGCTTAAATAGGACATTTCAGTGTCTGGCAGCATGTCTTTTTTAATACTGATGCAAACTAAATATAAAAATTTGACAGTGAATAGCCAGCTGAAAGGACTTACAATACCTGTTTATTTACTCGGAGTTTTTAGGAGTTGTTGCACACTTGGACCGTCTCATAGTATGTACCAGTCAAAATAAGTCAACCAGCCAGACTTTTCTTGTGAAACCCGCTATGATCTCTTTGTACTACCAATGCACCACAGTTCAGGCATAATCCATGACAAGAGGTAACACCACTGCAACACTGATGGTTCTCAAAAAGTTTATGTTTCAGAAAATGACCAAAACATTAGCATTTCTTTAACTTAAAATGAGAACTAAGGCTAATAAACAAAGGATAATAATGCAAGGCAAAACCAAGGCCTGTAGAGATACACATCATAAGGGCAGCAGTACTGCCCACAGTTTTGTTTTGAGTGAACTCCCTGTACAGAGCAGTGGTTCATTTATTTGCTTTTTTGAGGCAGAAAGATTGGATCTTTACCTATCTAAGCCTCAGCTGAATCTGGAACTTTGATGCGAACAAACTCTAACTGCCAACACAGTATGTTCATCTAGAAGTTTTCAGGCAGGTGAGAAACAGTGCATAAAGAGCAGGACTAAAAATACGCAGAAACAGAATTTCAAAATAAATATGCCAATATGTAGCAGCCCACAAAAAGTGATTTTTCCCAGACTTTCTTTGGAAAGTAGTTACAATAACCTGTACTTGTAATAACTCCAACATTAAGTTACACATGCTGTAGGTCTGCTACTCAAGTATATTTAAAAGAATGGAAAGTCATCTTACCTGTGCTACTGTTGCCCAAAGTTCCTTGACTTCCTATCATCCCTTCATTCCTGCCCATCAGTCCTGGCTGAGGTATCACTGAATAGGGGCTACTCGTTCTTATGGGTGGGAAAGTTCCTGCACCTGTTGGGTTCTGCAGTGTGATGTCAAGTGGTAAATTCTGGTTTGGTAATAACCTGCCCAGTTGCCCTGCTCGTGGGTTATTAAAAGCTAGACAGGAGGAGCAAAGGAAAACGCAAAGTTACAGAATGGAAACTTTACTTGTTAAAAAAAAAAAAGAACCCAAACACACTTTAAGCTCTTGGGCTGAGCTATCTAATGCTGCATAATTTACCCACTCCATATCTGTCTGAGAAACACCCCTTCTTGACACTTTTTATGTAAATTTCAAAATGGAACATTCTGACACTAAAACAGAGATGACATATATTTTTAAAACTTTAAATGGTCCAATTTAACTGACAGAAGAGCCACTACAGCAAAATATATCATTATGTGATGTGCATACTACTGCCAATTAATCTTATACCTAGTAGGGCTGTAATTGCATGCAGATGTCAGCCTGAGGCAGATTGTTAGGAATTATCTCAGTTTTGAAAATTTTCCAGCATAAGCTGTGCCCCTGAAGAAGTTACCAAAATTAAGGCCAGCTTGACTCTATATCAGATCCTGTAGCCCCATTTCTACATCTCCCTCTTAATTTTTTTTTAAACCTTTTTTTTGTCATTAATAAAAGGAAATACTTCCATGATTCAGCAACAACAAATAAACGGTCCAGAATTAGAGCCACCATAATATTCTGGTAAACAGAACCATGCTTGATGGCTACTGCCACCTTTACGTAACCATTTTCTTCTGCTGAGGTGTTTTGTGCTCTTAAAATAAGCCTCTGCAAAGAAAACTGCAGACTGTCTCAGAAAACCGAGCTTCAGATCATGACTGGCAAACATCTGGCTCAGCTGGTCTTTGGGCAACGTTCCAATGCACGAAAGCATCCCCTGTGCGCACAACTAGTTCTCAAACATGAATCAGAGACTGACCTTGTGCCTATGATTCAATTGCCAATCATACCAGCAAAATACATCCAAATAAATTAACCATTTTTGTGAAATTATGATCTGCAATACTTCCTGATAGCTTCCCCATGGAGAGTCTCTGATATATCAGCATCTTTAAACTGACTTCTGCATTTTTATATTCACCACATTACAAAGAACTTCTTTCTTATTTTAGATCAAAGTAGTGATACTTTTGAATTTGAGAACTTAGATGAGGTTTATTAAGCTTGTTAAAAGTACAGAAGCATCTTATTACAAAGGTCTCTGACTTTTCTTCTTATTTTATAAAACCAGACTACAGGAACTCACAGTATTTATTTATTTTTTTAATATAAGTTCTCTGCCAGGTGAATTTGCTTATATGCGTGTATAGGAAATACATCACATCACACACACCTAATTCCTAACCATGAGATCAAAATTTTACCTTGATTGTCTGTTCAAACAAGCAAAAAAACCCATACTTATCAGACAAAAAAGACCTTCCCGAGCTTAGGGTCATCATAAAGTGTAAGGATTGAACCAAAACCAAACTTCAGTGACAGTTTCAGAACAGTTTGCCCCAGAAGTTTGAAAAATCACATAGATGAGTAAGTTATTATATGGGTAGCTTTGCCAGCACCCACTGATCCTCCAAAAAGGAAAGCTGCAGCACAAAATAACAACACAGTTGATGAGATGTGATGGTGCTCAGATCACATATTCTACTCTTGGTCAGGATGGGACCGAAGGAGGCTCCCTGTCCCTCATGCAACAAACTCCAGCAATCTGGCAAATCTAGCAGCTTTCAAGTTTTTTGTGTGTGTTTTTTTGGTTTTTTGGGGTTTTTTTTTGTTGTTGTTTTTTTTTAAACAGATAAAAATATTTTAATGATTTTCATGTAAAACCTGTAAAATGAAAGCTGGTTATTTCCTCAGAAAAAAATTTAAGAACCCCAAACCTCTTTTGGAATTGTATATGATCTGACATTCATTTGACACTGCTTTTCCGTGAGCATATGAGATGCCACTCACTATTTCTGTGCACCTGTTTTCTGTATGCTGTTCTGCTGAAAACAAGGCAGAGTTCCCTAGGGGAATCGGGCACAGATTGGGGACTGAGCTGCAGGAAAAAAGTTTTAAGTTTTAGGGTTTAAATGTACATGGGAAACAAGATGCTGCTTTTACAGAACTGCAGCTAACCACCAAGACACTCTCATTTACAATGATACAGTTACTGTACTGCCAGTAGCTTTGAAAGCAGATTTAAAGCTAGGTTAACTCTGGAAGGCCAAAAGGTTAGTGAAGGGAACCACCAGACCTTGTTTCAGAAAGAATATGCTAAAGATTTCAGATGCACAGAGATTTCCTTCTGACTTATGTGCTGCTGCAGTTAGTACCCCCATACTTACAAAAATGAGTACATTAAATCCAAGCATCTTTCTCTGAACAACACTGATAACAAATGATAATTTAAGGATATGTAGTGGTTTTAAGATGAATTTAAACTTTAATATTTATTATTAACAGTAATATTAATGTTTGTTTAAACATTTCTAAGTAATAATTAGAGTTCATTTGAAAGTGGCATGGTGTTGTTCTAGTATCATCAGAACAGCTAAAAATATTACCTAAGCCCTATATTTTATAAAAAAACCCCAGCGTACATTTAAGGAAGTAAATAGACGCTGCTACCCTAGCCAAGAGGATTAAAAAAATGAAGCAGTGGCTTTTTTTGCTATTTTCTTCAACATTTGTAGCTGATAAGACTCCTGTCTTGCTCGCTTTCCATTATTCTATGGTGGAGGACTAAGATTTCAGTGCTGATTTGCAAGTTAATTAGTAAAGTTAAGGAACACTGTCAGCCAGAAGTGACTCATTTAAAAGCCATAATTTCAAATTAAACCTGGGCATTTCTATTAATCTTGTGGTTTTAGAAGACAACTCTCCTTCATGCTTAGAATAGCCTCTCTCACCCCTTTTACTGAAAGGGCTGCCAGAAAGGAGCGATCTGCATCAGAGCAAAACGCACGCGCTCTCCGTGCCAAAGCCCCCGCAACAGCAGCATCACCTATAACCACAGCTAGGGACGGTTCATCTATTTTGAGGGTACCCCCTGAAACTCCTCGGAGGGCACGGACTTCCAGGGTTCTGTGTGAATTGGACATAACCTCCACACGTGTTTCGAAACGGGACGACCGCAGATGGCGCTATGTCATCACGCAAGGCCAGACCAGGACAAGGAGCTGCCCTGTTCCTCCCCGGACGACCCTGGGACCCCCACGACTGCTGCTCTGGGGGTTCGCAAGCTTTGCCGACACACGCGTGGAAGGTGAACTCACTGCTCTGTGAAATCCTCATTGCTGGTTTCTGGGTGGCCACAGCTGCGCCGGGGCTGCTGTCACTGGTGAGCTGCATGAGGTCATTGATGATGGCTTGCTTGTCGACCGAGCCCGCTGGCGCGCCTGGGCGGCTATCTGGGAAAAGCTGCGGTAACTGGCTGTTCTGCAGGTCATCCAGAATCTCCTCCAAGTTATCCAATTCACTGCCTGGCTGCAATAAAAAAAAAAACAAACACAAACCCACAGTACACGTCGCTGCTCGCCTGCTGTCGGCGTCCTGCTCGCGCCGAGCCACGCAGCCCGCAACTGTCATGCCCGCATGGGCTTCGGATGCTTCCTGCAAGAAGCCCCAAGTGGAGGAAGCTCACAAAGCTGTTGAAAAAGGACTGTTCCCAGGGCTCATCTGCCTTGCTCTTGGGGAGGCAGGTGTGGCACTGGCTCCCCTTCAATACCCCGGCATCAGGACGTACAAACGGCCGCACAATCTGTACCTTGGGCAAAGGAGAGATTCTCCCTGTGCGCTCTGCGACTGGTGCAGACAGCAGGGATAATTTGGCAGGGGAAGAGATCCAACGGTGATGAAGATGGGGGTTTATGTGGGTATAACCAATATTCCTTTCAGCAGTCATATTTCTAGTCTCTTTATGACTTGATTAAAAGCATACGATGGAATAGTTGCTTCATGGCTAAAACAATTCCCCATAAGCATTTTCTTTGTTACATTCAAAGCCTTAACACTGAGGAACTCTATGTAAGTTAACTGGCAAGAAATATACATTTCAATGAAGTTCTGTAAATTAAAACCTGTCAACTACTTACTAGATTTAGGAATTTATTTTGCTCACAACTTCCCAAATCAGTGAAAATAACCTCTCTACAGTAAGAAAGAAAAGAGAAATCTAGTTACATTCAACTCAGTAGAAATTTACAATGAAATAAAGATGGGAAAAAATTAAGTTCACCCTACACTAACATAAATACTGACCTGCATCTTTTTCTTAAAAATGTTGATTTTCAACAGTATTTTTGGGGGGTCTGTCTATAAACCCTCAGAATTAAAATCTCTTTCTGACCGAAATTTGGAAATTATTACAAATATATTCTCCGCACCTAAACCTTTAAATAGGGTAAAACTCTGGGTAATAGTTACCAACAGGCAGTCCAGTCTCAGTTACCACCAGGTTGCACAGGAAACATTTAATGAGAGTATTTATAACAAAAACCTACTCAAAATCAGCGCCTTCGTTAGGAAATATGCAATGACGGACGAAAGGCAGAGAGTGAGCAGCCAGCCATGAAGAATGGGGAACTGAGAGATACCACCACAAGCATGCACACAACTGAAATACAATTCTTCCTGTTCTTTTTTGTCCTACCGTCACATTGTGAACTCGTTACTTATCGAGAACGAGCTGACGCCACAGATCACAGGATAATGTAGAAATACCTGAGATGGCTTTAAACTACCTACCGAGGCGCTCAGAGCCTGACTAGGAAGCACTGCACGTTAATCCCTACTTAACTCCTGCTGCCACAGCTAACCTGCTCCTGGGAAGCCCAGCTATTTTATTCAAAGATAGCTAAAATGCCCCAAGGTTACATCTCTACATACTCTTTTTGGATGACTGGCTGCAGATAAACAAGGCATTACTCTTTACTCCTTCTACATCACCTCCTAGTCTTACAGATCGAAATATATGGCGCAGAAGAGGAAGGAGTTTACTCCGTTAAAAGGCAGCATGTGGGTGACCAGGAGGCCGGTGTTATTAGCACAATGCTAGGAAATCACAGGATCAGAGGACTGGAAGAAATTTAAAGCCTCAAGGCAAAATCAGTATATGCCATTCCCTACAGAAGTTCATATAACCTCTTTTTAATGACATCCAATAACAGAAAATACACAGCTTCCCCCAGGAAATGGTTTCAGCACTCCGCCATCCTTACTATTTGAGTTTTTTTTCCTCAGCGTCAATGCAAACCCTCCCTCACTGAAATTCAGGCCCTTCCTTCTTGTCATGTTTTGAATCTGGAGAACAAATTGTGTTCCCCTTTCTTTTTCTAACCTTTTCTGTATTTGAAAATGTGCTTTTTTGGGTTTTAAGATGAAGTTAATAAGCAATCTCAACTTGTTGAATTTTCTTCAGCATATAACCTGTTTGCTAGATCTCTCATTACTCTCGTTGCTCCTGTGGACTGTCTTCATTTGATCCACACTTGCTGAAGTGCCGTGTCCAGAGCAAGATTTCACATGGAGCCTTACAACCGCTGAGTAAAGCAGAAAATATACTCTACACATTGTACACTCTCATGGCATATTCCAGAAGAGCCTGTGACTTCTGTTAATTACATGACATTATTGACTCTCACTCATCTTGTGCTCACTATGATCCCTAGATACAGCTCTGAAAAAGTCCTATCTACTCAGTTGATCCCCCTTTTTTTTTTTTAAATCTGTGACATTGTTCTTGACTAATTATAACAAATAGCATTTGTTTACCCTGAACGTTCTCTCAAGATTTTTCCTCCATATCTCCTGGTTGCAGCTGAATTGGAATTCTGCCCTCCCATGTATTGCAGACATTCAGGCGTCACATGCAGCTTTACCAAGCATACGCTCTATTCTCTCACTGGGTCATTCAGGTTAACTAAAACACTGAGCAGCTCTAGATGCTGCACAAGCTCCTGCAGCATCTCCATTTTGACAGTGAACCCTGAAATAACTACTTTGTGTGTAAGGATTTCCAAACAGCTTCCTACCCTACTCACAGCAGTTTTGTCTTGACCATGCATCTCTAATCCTCTTATGAGAATGCCATGCGTATAAGAGCCAAAGAGCCTTACTCAAACCAAGAGACACGGCGTACGCTGCTTCTCTTATGCCGAAAAAGCCCACTATCCTCTTGCAGAAGGAAGTCGGGTTAGTCCGACATTACCTGCTCTTGACAAACCCCGCTGCTGACTCGCTGCCTTCCAGGCACTTAGAAACAGTTGGGCGGACTGCACGCCAACAAGAAAAGGCAGAGCCAGGAGGAATCAAGTGTGATTACAGGAAGCCTAAATCATTGTGCAGCCAGGTGATAAGCAGATTTAAAAAGGCGCTCCGAGAGACAGTCGTGAGCGATGTTTGTAGGAGCCGCATTTTGAGCACTAGGAGATCTGGTACAAGAAGACTGCAAGAGCCAGCAGAGAAGACTAATGTAGAGTATCATAAATTATAGAAGGGTGATTCAGTGCTCTTTGGGGGAATTAAGACATATGGCCTTCATTAAACATATTTGAGACAACAGGGAAGGGAACTTTTATATGTTGCAGGGGGTTTTTTGTTTGGTTTTGTGCAGGACTCTGTGTCTTTTTTTCTTCCTTTTTTTTTTCTTTTAACATTCTGGCTACTACAATTCTTTGTTTAAATGTCAGATGTTAAAAAATAACAAACCCAAAACAAAGCCAGAGAAGAACATATTGATCCAAATGTGTCAGAAAACTGCACTCCCCAAGATGCTTTTAATTCCTCTCAGGAAGTGGCAAAGAAAGGCCAAATACAACAGATGTATTGTAACAACACAAATATATAACTTTCCCTCTTTTTGCTTAACATAATCAATATCAAATATTTTATCTTTATTTTTTGATGAGAGGAGGGTTCTCAACTCCTGCAAAAGCTCCAGAATAGATTTAGAATTAACACCAAGCTATGATGTTAGCCTAAGTCTTTCCAGACTCACCCTCAAATGGCACCATATGTTCAGAAACTAGCATTAAAATATTTACTTGGTTAGTTTCATGGGATTTTTCTTTTATTTGTATTCTAAATATATATTTTGTTAATAGTCTAAATTGAACTCTACGTAAATAGAAGGCACAGCCTAGGCTCCCTGTAAAACAATTATTTGTCATGAATTAAAAAAAAAGTGCCTGATAAAGTGCTAAGCATCACAAGAAAGTTCTCGTGCACATATTTTTGCTATCTCTCAGCAATGCAATTACAACAATCTCCATAGAACACTATGGAGATTGATGTCCATAGACACTAAGTGCCAGAAAATATAAGACAAATTGAGCTTAGAAATACTTATGCATTTGAAAAAGTACCTACTTTTGAAGCACTTCGCACCATCACGCAGAGGAAGGTAGATTGAAGTGTTAATTGCTTATGGAAAGGCAGTTACACCTCAACATGAAGTTTGGCTTACAAAAGTTTCTATGTCAAAGTCTGGCAAGATCTGAAACTCTCTAGAGATCTCTTTTCCACCACGGGCAATGCCCATGGCTTGCACTGAGACCCTGTAATGCAAACTTCACATACGTATACATTTCTTTTATGATGACGTATGATGGAGGCATCTGGGCCTTTTTCCTTACAACAGGATGTCTTTTGGTGGGGACACAACTTGAAACTATATCTGCCTGATATAAACCACAAGTTAGCTCAGTAGCTACCTCTGCAGCATGGGCAAAATGTTTGATGACAAAAGGTAAACAAAACCAAATCCCTGCTCCAAACTGGCCGCAAATTAAAGGGTTATAAAAAGAAGGAAAAAGTAAACCTGAAGTAGAATCCATATAGTCTTTTTCTCCCTGGTAACCGCATTAAACAAGCAATTGCCTAGAAATTCTGTTATATTATCAGGCTAATCTGCCACTAACTTCTGGAAACAGAAGTCTAGTTGAAAGATATTCAGCAAATGGAATCCCCATTCTGAAGATCTGAGAGAATTTCAAGAAGAAACCAATGTCCTTCATTAATTTAATGGATTCTGGACATCAAGAGATATGTTTTGGAAGATGAGGGTCATGTGTAAAGAAAATCTTTTAGTATTGGGAAGATATTGCTTTCCACATAAAGCAAGAAGACAGCAGAGTTGACAGAGTGTGTCAGGAACACCAGAACAATTTCTGACAAAAAAGTACATGCTTAAGATGATTTCTGGAACAGCACTGGTAGAGGCTGTGGCACTGCAAAGTGCCTGCCCGACAAACAGGCTGTCTATATTGCCTGCTGGCTAAAAAAGAGCAGAGCACACTTACGGAGAGAAAGCTTTTACTCTTCACTACGCCAGGTGCTTTCTCAGAGAACAAGCCAATTCAAATTTCTACATCTCAGTTTCTTCGTCTGTAATATGAATATAATAATCCAGACCCCACTTTACAGAGGAGTTTTTGCAGCGCAAAACAATACGGCTAAAGGAAGCGTTTCTTTCGCAGGGCAATACCTGACGGTGTTCGGCGCATGACGTTTCTCCGATGCCCCCCTACCCTTTCACCCTCCTTCCCCCGAGCCGATGCCCAGTCCTGGTCGGATTTGACCACCTGCTGACCGCCACAGGGGCTGCTCCTGCCCAGCAGCAGCGTGTGCTGGCTGCAGCCTGAAGCACAAGAAGGGGTTTTTCAAGAGCGAGCGTGACAGCGGGGCGCAGGGAAGGAAGGTGCGGGATGAAGTCCCACCACGCAGCCCACAGTAGCCAGCGGGCCGGCAGGGAGAGAGAGGGACGGCGGGCTTGCTGCTGAGGGACACCCTATAAAACAGATCTGTAGCAAACCAGGACTCGTGTTTCCGCTGCCTTGCCTTCTCAATAGCGGAGAACGCTCCGAGCACTCGCGGTGTTTGACAGCAACAGTCCTACTACTGTTGGTGCTGTGAGAAAAGCTCCGCTGAACCTCCCCAGCAGCACTCTTTCATCCTCTCCCCCACAGCTGCCGTAACTGGAATAGCAATCAGCCTAACAGAGCCTGATAACCATCATCCCACCAAGGAAGGGAAAAAGGTATGGCGGCGCTGGAAATACTCTCTGCCATTTGAGAAAGGCTTCCTGTCAGTTGCTGCTCTCTGCAGAAGTGTATGTTTAAACACACTACCTAGAAGACTGCTATTTTTAGTGCCGTGGTGTACTTCAAAGCATTTCCTGCTCAGAAAGTCACACCAAAAGTAAAAGGAGAAAACGTAATGGCTCTGCTGCCTCCCAGCACCCCGATCCCCTTTGCAGAAGCCATCCCACCGCCGCTCGGCGGCAGCTTCTAGAGAAGCTGCACACTCCAGTGACTAATTACTTAAAAATACAACATTCCTTGGGGAGGAGAAGTTTTAAATAAACCTGCAAAATAGGTAACACAAGCATACGGCTAATTTTTACATACGGGAGGAAGAAGGGGGGGGGGGGTTTTTGGGGGAGGACGCAGGAGGATGGAAGAATTTAGCACAAGAATCTGTGTTCTAGTCTTGTACTAAATAGTTCCAGCTTTGATCTAAATTTAGGCAATAAGCACTTCCTGTGGGAGACCGTCTTCCAAAGCTGAAGAGTTTTCGATGCTAAATATTTTCAGTGATTTTATAATTGGGGTAAAGTGGTTATTTGTTTAAAGGCCTGGCCTTCAGCTAGATAAATGCTTACATATTTTATATTTCCCACCATTTCCTCTCCTACTCCACATTGGACTTCTCCTGTTTATTTAGCTCCAGGTTTCACTGCATTTTAAGTAGGTTTTAAAACTCTATTTACAACCAAAGGAGCAACAAAAGCCCTTCTGTCATCCTCCAGCAGCCTTCCATCACAGCTGCAGCACTGGCTTATCCTTACCTTGGCGCTGAGGAAGCCCCAGCACTTCAGCCCTTACCACTTTATCAGGACTCTTGCACTTCTTCATGGCTTTCTGAACAGCCTCAACTCCTGCATCTTCCTGTACCTCCACTTCCCTCTCTCCCGGGACACAACCTCTGTCTTCAAATTTTAAGAAAAGGCAATACATCCATAGTCCATACTCCAGCCCCCTCAAATCCCTCCCCTGACCTCAGAAACACGATGCCTGAAAACAGAAAATGAATAGACTATTCACTTTACAAAGTTCATAATACTGGGGACCTGATTTTCTGATGCTTAAGCTTGGCAAATGCTTGTAGACACTGAAGCCTCTTTCTTTAAAGTTAGTCTTATAGTTACATGTTTACATTTAGGGTGAGACGCAACTTGCCTATCTTTAGTCATGAAAAAGTAAGTCAGCTAGTCTGAACTAGCCATCTAGGCTACCACTAGTCAATGGGAACATCACCAGGGAGCAGCTTACCTGCCCTATTTTAGACACACATTAGGATAAGACAAAAAAATCCTGGAGTATTTTTCATTTTTCCATCAATGATAAAAGGAGTTCGTAGGATTACCTTGAACTAGACAGCTAACTCCTAGAGGGGACAAAACCTGCTCTTTGCAAATGGGTTCACAACCTAAGCCGTTTCTTGCCTACTCCACAGAGATCATGAAAGACTAAATTCTAATTCTTTTAGAAATTTAATTATTGGAGAGTAAAGCATTTGAAGGCCATGATTTTGATCTGCTTAGACAGACCTGATTTTTTCAGTGATTACCAAATTCTACGTTCTTGTCCAGTATCAAACACTGAGGACTGAAGGACCTCTGCCTTCAGTATTGAGTTCAAAGTGTAGGATCTGAACTAGGAATTGCAGTCTATTAGATATTTTTACAATAGTTTATTCTTGCCTATTTAGCTGTGAATTTCTTGATATCTGTGTTTTTGTAACGTTACACAGCATAAGCTCTCACAGAGTATCTAAACCCTCCCTCTACAGGCACTACAAAATAGTAGCTGTATTCAAAACTAAACTAACATCCAGGTTTGAGGATTAATCCCTGTAGAAATTAGTGTAATTTGGCTCAGTTTCCCCCTAAATCATGGGAAGGATTGAAAACCCCCATTGGTCCTACATAATGGCAGTAGCTGTCAAACTCTGTTTAAAGACAAGAAGCAAAGTAACCTTAGGAGATTTTAACAATGCTGTGTCCACACTGTAGTGGCATATTTGGCCTCTATGTTTTGTGGTTATAACCACTATTGAAAGAACTGTCTACTGGTAGAGACTGTCAAAAGGACAAAGTTAAAAAAAAAAGATCCAATGCTGTGACTTAGGGTTAAGAAAATGCTGTCTACCCTTCCTCAGCCTCAAAATATAATGTATAAAATACAAAAAATTATGTATTTCTATACATATGATAAAAACCACAATAGATTCAGAAAAAAAAGCAAGCTCAAACACACTCCACACATTAAAAATACACAATAATTTAAAAGTGAAGGTATGGCTGTGAATGAGAGAGTCATGAACACTTACAGTGTATGATCTGATCATGATTTACAAACTAAGGCTTCACACACAGGGCACTGTCTAGGGATTAATGACCAGCTGGGAGAGTTGATAGCATAGGACAAAGCTAAGGATCATTAACTCCAGCTAGTTACAAACTCCCCAGAAAATGTCTTATGCTAAAATTGATATTGTAATTACCCATTTTATAAATAAAATAAACAGTAATATTGAAGTGGCAAATTGCTTCTGCTTTTTCTTGCAAGGCTCTGAAAACCGAAACATTCTGGGTGATGTGAACCTGGTGCTTTTTGAAACTGAATTCTGCATGAAGGCCAGTGAAATAACATTTTTGAGCATAGGTCCCAACAACACAGTTTATTGGTATGTTGTGCAGCACAGCGACAAACAACCATGCACAGAATGCAAAGAAATTAGCAATGCAAAATTCAATGCAGATAACCTTACACAAGGAGACACAATCTCTGCACTGAACAATTCATCGGCCATGGCAACTTGGGGTTGAATTTAAAAACTTTTCAAGTAAAAAAAACAAAACAACAAAACCCACTAATTGGCATAGAAACAAGGAAAGTCTGTTTGCCTTGATTTCAATTTGCAGAGCAAGTATAGCATGAAGACCAGTAATGCAAAGTTGGTATCGGTCCTTTCAAACAGCTCCTGTCCTTGAGCATGAACTTGCTTTTCATGGAAGAAGCGTAGCTGCTAGGCTGGGCTAGGTGAAAAGCCCATCTAGCCCACAGCGGTTCAACAACAGCCTATGGGAAAAGCTGTCAATAGGTTAGTATTAACCAACTCTTAGAAGTATTTTCTCTTCGTCTGACTACCAGCTGGGAAAGGTTCCCCAGCGTTCAGTCCCTGCCTTGCCCATCTCCTCCCAGGCAGAGCCTGTTCTTTTAGACAGATCGCAAACTTCCTAACACCGACTGGAAAGTTGAGTGAAGGCTGTATTTCAAGAGAAAGGTAACTGCCTCTTGAAGTGTCAAGAAATTGCTCTTAGAGGAAGTCTGGAAAA